CTTCTCTTCACCCAAATCAATATTTATCTCTATCTATCTAACAGCATTCCCTCCCCTTCCCTCCCACCCCTGGTAACCAACAAAGAAAATGTAGGACATCTCTTAAAGAAGTCAGGATAGTTGTTATAATTTCCATTGGTCAGATGGATAAACCAAGACTTCAGAAAACTACATGCTTTTTTCTTTTTTCTTTTCTTAATTAATAGACCACTGGCTCTTTACTACTTTTTTATCAATAAAAAACATGCAGTTTCTGCAGTATTTGTCCTTCAGGCTTTTTGTCATAAGGAAGTTGACCCAGGATCCAAGCTCTGAGAATGACAAATGTGTCAGATAAAGAGAATGTTTGCTGTATCTCCAGCTTCTTGGGAAACTAAACCAGTCATGGGCTAGGACTCTAAAGAGGCTGTGGAAGTAGGCCCAGGACAATTACACAGTTAATTGGATCAATGTGGAGAGCCAAGCAGGATTATTCAGTTCCCAAAGCAGGCTTTATTGCTGAAGTTATCAACATTGATCCAATTATCTGGATAATTGCTTCGTCTGTACCATAAACCAAGAAGACTCAGTACGAGCCAGCTAGCCAGCCAGATATCGCTCCTCACTCAGAGTTTTCTGTAGATATCAGCTGGACATCATTGCTGTCTGTAGGGTCAGTGGCTGAGGGTTCAGCACAACCGTTCATCTCTAATTGGGAGATGTTTTTCCTTCATCTTTTCACACTCCACAAACTCAAGTTTGTCTTCAGAGCCTGGGGCTAGGCTTCTAGCCATCTTTTTTCTAGACCTTATCCCTGTCTAGCATCCAGGAAGAAAGATCCTCTGAAAGTACAAAGGAACATAGATGAATGGTTATTTGCATTTCTTTTTAAATTTCCAAAGCTACGAGTGCAGATATCATACCAGTAATAACTATACTTTGTTGATGTGTCATTCTGCAATGGAGCTACTGTCCTAGTCTGCCCCCTTGGTGCACCAAAATCTTGAGTGCAATTTGGAAATCACCTAAATCTAATCACTTCTTCTCTGTGCTTAAAACCCTTCAGTGGCTTCTCATAACCACAGGATAAACTACCAACTTGGACTTTACAGATATCTGGAGAATCCTATATTACCTCCTCCTATGTGTCCCTCTAGCTCTTGCTAATCTTCCTCTTGCATCTTCCTCTTCCTTATCTTTCTTTCAGCCATGATGAATTTCTTTTAGTTTTCTTGTTGTTGTTGTTATGTGCTGTTGAGTCAGACCCAACTCATAGCGACCCCTCCTTGGGTTTCTGAGGCAGTGTCACTACGGAAGTAGATTGCCCCATCTTCCTTCCGAGGAGTGGCTGGTGGGTTTGAAC